CACCGGTCATCCCTATATAGGGATGACTGTGTTTTAAATCAGCCCTGGAAAGTTTGTATTGAAGGGATCTGGAAAAATATGTGTATAAAGAGTTTTGAGACCACATATTAGTTTTGAGAACAGAGTGAGCTTCAGGCTTCAATATTACACATGTCTGCATTGAGACTACTAATAAAACTTGTTATATATTAAATTAGCAAATTTCATTGATCTGTTTTTTAATGTCAAACCATCCTTGCATTCCTGCGATATACCCTACTTGGTCTGATGGCTGATACTCTCATCACATTTACTATGTGCCAGGCACATTACTTGTATTAATCCATGTAATCCTTATTGACCCTATTAAAAAAATTTTTTTTAAATTATATGCAATTTTTACTTTTTAATTTATTTCTTACTTTTTAATTTATGTTTGACACATAATAATTGTACATATATATGGGGTACAATGTGATGTTTTGATACATGTATCTAATTAACCCTATTCTATAGATGCTATTATTCTCTTCAATTTACAAATAAGAATACCATCATTTCAGCCATCATTTTTTTGGGCACAAGCCATTTATGTGAAAGAAAAATTCTGTCTTCTCTGGACATTTAGAAAAACTCACCATAAAACTTTTTTTTTTTTTTTTGATGAGGGAATGGTTGACAATTTTTGACTTCCATTTCTATATTTCACGATTAATGATATATTAGTCTTTATAACACTTTTTGGGCCAACATAAGTAATCTTAAATTGCTTTCTAATATTACCTATTTTACCAAGTTTTCAAATGTGTTGTTTAAAATCAATTGCACATGGTGTAATTTAATAATGTCAATACCATCTTATTAGAATAATATTCTTTTCCTTCCTGATTTGTTTATTTCTTATAACTTTTGTATTAATCATTAATATTGTATCAGTCAGCTAATGCAACAATAAATCCCCATCTCATGTGCTTACAACAATAAACATTTTTATTTCTTGCTCTGGGTCTTCCAGTTTGCTGAAATTTGAGCCTGCCTGGATTCAGCTGCTCTAGGCTGGACTCCAGGATTTCAGATGAGTTCATGTCTGTTCTGCATTATTTAGTTATTCTGATACAAGTGGCTACCAGGGACATACTCTTCCCATGGTTGAGAAAGAAACACAAGAGGTCATGTTAAAGCTGCAAGAACATTTAAAGCTGCTGTTCCCTTCATATTTGCACACAGTCACGTGGGCAAACCCAATATCAAAGGGGCTGGGTGTTTGCTGCACATTCTCTAATGGGAAACTCTGCAAAGTACTACAGCAAAGGACACAGATATGTAATTCCAGAACAAGGAGGATGTAAAAAATTGGAAACAGTAGCCCAAACTACCACAGTAACGTTTATCAAATTTATGTTTTTGCAAAGAACCAGTTTTTTAATTTTATTATCAGCTGTATGGTTATTTCCCTATTCTAGGTAGTTAATTTAATTATTTAATTTGTATTTATACTTTATTTATACCCCTTTTAAAACATATATTATCTGTTGTGTAGAGTCCACAGTCCTTGGAGGACATTTCTGAGGCTTGCTGCTGTCAACTCTTACTCTGCTTATTTCCTACTGTGTTTGGTAATTTTTACAAGATGAACTCAAATTTCCCTGATTTTCATCTGAGAAAACCCCCAGGTGCTTAGGTTAAGGGTAATGTTCTCCACCGCTTTCAAGAATGATGTGGTTTTTGTTTGTTTGTTTTTTGGCAGCTGGCCAGCCCCTTGACCTTGCTGTTACAAGGCTGTGTTCTAAAAACCTGAGCCAAATGTCCAGCCCCCACTGTTTTTAAATATCCATAGTGCAGTAGATTGTGATGAGCTGGGACACTTGAAACACAATTTTTCATCTTGGCATAAATAACAAAATTCAATAATAATAATAGCATCATCATCATCATAATAGCAACATAAATTCAAACTCCAGATCTATGGAAGGATAGACCTATGGATAGATACCCTTAATGAGAACCTTTTTCCCTACCAGAGTCAAGGCTTTCCTACCGTTCACTCGAATACTTCCCTCCCCTCTCCCCTCTTATCCCCAAACCACCCTTTCTCTAAGTCTGTAGCACATTTAGGCGCCTGGTTTTATGTACATCTCTTGGTTCAATTTCCCACCTTTGTGAGAGGTCTGCCTATGTGCTGTAGGGGTCAAATGCCCTTTGTCTTCTGAGCCTACGGCTCGGCTCTTCACAGTTGTGACAATGGCATTAAGAAACACAGCCCCGGGAGATCTTCTCTGCAGTAGAGCGCCTCTTTGTGCCTGGCAGGCTCCCTGCAATAGGAGTGGGGGGTGGGGGCTGCTGTCTGGGGCCTGGTGACTTGAGTACACAAGGGCTGATGACCTTTGCGAAACCAAAATGCCAGTCATGAGACAGAATCAAAAGGAAGAGACCCCACCCTGCTCCGCACCAGGGAAAAACAAACCTCTCCAGTTGTTTGGCGAGATAAAGTGTTTCGAAGAGTGAGTGTGAGTTTGGGGGAAGGCAGGCATCCAAGGTCACATCAGGGACTCAGACCACTGATCAGGCTCTGGCGATCAGAAATGGACACTCCTGGAAACCAGGCCTGGAGGAGTCACAGACTGGTCTAGTGTGTGCCCCTGCTCAAGGTCTGTGTCTCCCCTCATTCTCTCACCAGATCCTTCCTGTGTGCCCAGGGCTCGGTTGCACCCTGGGGACAAGGAAGTGAATCAACCACAGCTCCTGGCCTAGAAAAGTGAAAACACTGGTAAAGTGGGCACAGATGTCAGCTGTAGCCAGAGAGAAGTCAAGAGGGCTGCTTTGAGGATATGATGCTGGAGGACTTATTTGTTCCATAAATCTTTATTGAGCATAGACTTTATTTCCAGGCACTCTTCTAGTTGGGGATTCCACAGCCAGGGAAAAGAAGTTCTCATTAAGTCCTTTTTCTGAAGGAATGGGGTAGTCAATAAATATGCAAACACTTTAACAAAACAGTTTCGGGCCGAGCCCCTGGCACACTCGGGAGAGTGCGGCGCTGGGAGCGCGGCAGCACTCCCGCCGCGGGTTCGGATCCTATATAGGGATGACCGGTGCGCTCACTGGCTGAGCGCAGTGCGGCCGGTCTCAAAAAGGACAAACAAACAAACAAACAAACAAACAAAAAAACAAAGCAGTTTCACATTGAGATAAATAACAGGCAGAAAATTAAAACAGAGAATTATAATTCAGTGAAAGAGGGCTACTTAAAATGAAATGGTTAAGAAAACACTTTCTCCAGAGATTATATTTAAGCTGAAATCTGTATGACAACAAACTATGCAAAGATAGATGGAAATGTCTGCGCAGAGGAAATAGCTGGTGCAGATGCCCACATTCAGCTTTTAATTTAAATTTTGTACAAACACTTCTTCCCCTTGTACCTAGCCTTGGGACATGCCCAGAGAAGACATTTGATAAATGATCTTAATGAGAAGAGAGGAATGAGATGACTCGGTGTTGTAGGTCTTTAATCTCTCCACCTCGGCCCTGAAATAAAACACAAATGGAGGGGTGAACTGGTCAGAACAACTGATGCAGAGGTGTATGCTGTGCATGTGTGTGTGCATGTGTGAGCATGTGTTTGTCTGGTAGGATGTCTGTGCATATTCTTTTGGAAATAAATATCTGGAAGAAATCTGTGATTCTTGAGGATCACGTTGCTGAGCTGTAGGGATGGATGCCTGGAAGGGTAGTAGAAAGAGAAGTCTGGGGTATTACAGCAGAGAGCTGCCCAGTGCTGTGCTGGAGATCCCACCAGCAACCGTGGGGAACTGCCAGTAGACTGCAGTTCTAGGGATAGTTGTTTATTAATCTGGGGTTAAAGGCCAGCCCAGCGCTGTCCCTGGTCACCAGGCTAATTGGCATTGACGTCGCTAAAGCATCTGCCAGAGGCCTGGGCTGGAGGACCAGCTTCCTTGACACAATCCGTACTCTGAGAAGCCCTAGTAAGTCATTTCTGGAGGGAAGAGGTAAGGGCCTTGGTCGAGAGTCTGGCCTCTTGGCTTGATCCCGGTGAGGTTGAGGCAGAGGCGTTAGTGGGGTCGTCAGGCTCAGTAGGGCCTCTGTCTCTCTCTGTGACCTGGAGCATCTGTGTTCTTCCTGGATCCACTTGGCCCTCTGCAAACTAAAGAATGGTCTTTTCCAAAGGGAAGACTAGAAGCGGGGGGGAGGGGGTGTCAGCAACATGTACAAGCCCTGACCATGGTCTCCAGCACCCTCAGGGGAGGTTAAAAAAGAGAAGGATGTGATCATGAGAGCTCCCTTCTAGCCGAGCACCTCTCACTGAGTCCTGGAGGAAGGGAAGGGTTAAGGGAGCTGACAGGTCGTGGTAGGTAAGGGCGGTGCAGTAGTTATGCAGCAGGGGCCAGAGGCATTTGGATTAGAGGCTGGAGCAAGGGGCGAGTCCCTCAGCGGCTGTGGGAGACCATCTGGAGCACATGCTGGTTGGGAACCTGGCAGCTGGGTGGGGACACGGAGAGGGGAGGCATCTGGATAGGACACCTAGGACCCTGCCAGGCCCAGGGTTCTGCCACGCAGACAGGGCCTCTCAGTGGGAAATCTCAAAACAAGAAAGGTCTCATCTGGGCAGGATCAATGACCAAAGAAGGATGCATTTGGAGAGTCAGAATTCTGCTTCCGGGCACTCCGGTCCTGAGCGTTCAGCGTGTGCCTGTCACAAAATAGGTAGTTTATATGAAATGGTTGACAGGCACTTGGGAAAACAGCTACAGTTGTGAGCGTGGTTATGGCCTGGTGTTTAACACAGGGATTTTTATTTGAAATGAGACACTGGATCTCATAAACCAGGTTCAGCCAAGAAATGGACCTTGTGGGACCTCAGGTCACCTGCTACGGTTTGAGTCTAGGTGCACAGGAAAAGGGAGACTAAGGACACCAGGATCCCTTGGCCCTCGGGAAAGGCAGTAGAGAAGTAGAGGAACCAAAGCTCTCACAGGCAAAAGACTCTCTTTGCCTTTGATTCTGGCCACCAGGAAGGGCCTAGTTTCTAATTTTGAGACTGTGGGCTGTTGGGGTAGGGGGCGCCTAAGCACTAGGCCTTGTGCCAGCAGGGGCTCTGGGTCCCTCTTACTCTAGCCTCTACCTTCGCTTTAGCACTGATCTACTTCTAATATTTTTTACTTGTCTGTCTCCCTGGTAGCCTAGGAGTGACTCAGAGCCAAGGATTGTGACATTCCCCTCTGTGTCTGCTTCCCTGAGCACAGGGTCCAGCACACTGCAGGCAATAGCAAATGGTGACTAAACAAGATGAGATGGAATTATTTTCCTTGACTTTCTCCTCTCTAAGGAAAAGACCATGACCCTGTTTCCGTCACTCCCTGTCCTCCTTCTGTGTGTGGTGACAGTATCGTGGTCAGAAACAAAAACCTGTGAGGATGCTCAGAAGACCTGCTCAGTGATTACCTGTGGCATCCCTGTCACCAATGGCACCCCAGGCAGAGATGGGCGAGACGGACCCAAGGGAGAAAAGGGAGATCCAGGTACAGGACAGGCTGCTCTGTCTTCCGAAACTTCCAACAATAAGCTGTTCATAGAAGGGGATGAGCACAGAGACAGGCGAGGCTCACCTTTTATTGCGATGGATGCTGGTCCACTCAGAATAATTCCTGTAAAATATCATTGCGCCTAAACAAAGGTGCTCCCGGGCTCTCTCCAGGATCCCACATTTCCACACGGGAGTTGGTAATGTGTGGCTGTCCACATAGATGGATGGGGTGTCCCGCCTGCTCAGGGAGCTGGCCCTCAGAGCAGACCTTCCCCTGGGATGCAGGACGATCTTTCTCCTTTGTCACCACTAGCTCTCTGGCTGGCTCCTGGGCTCAGTGTGAATTGAGTATTGAGCTTTTGGAGAAAGAGAATGAGTGACAGCCTCTGAGTCCTGTCTTTTCCTCTTTCAACAGGTAACGGGCTCAGAGGCTTGCAAGGCCCTCCAGGGAAATTAGGGCCTCCAGGAGGCCCTGGGAGTCCTGGGGGTCCAGGACCAAAGGGCCAGAAAGGAGATCGTGGAGACAGTTTGGGTAAGGAGCACACCCAGCATGGTCTGGCCCGAGTGGCTCAGGGCCCTGGGGACTGGAGGGCCGGCTGGGAGATGGCTCTTCCTGCTGCCTCACTGGAAGATGCTCAACTCTGTGTCCTGACCCAGCACCCTCTGTCCTCTCGGTGTCATTTGGGGCCTGAGAAGATTCCCATCGGTGTCTTGGTACGTGGACGGACTTTCAAAGCCTGCAGGGCACCCCCTCATCAGGCCCCTGTAGGAGATGGGCCCTGGCTTTCCTTCAGCTGAAACAGGCCAGTGTGTGGCTCCAGGCTGCAAGGGAGGAAATGGGCCATCTGTGAGCTGGGTTTATGTCGATTGTCACAAGAGTGGCATGAAAATGGTCTGCTTCATGCACTCTTCACAATAGCCAAGAGCTGGAATCAGCCCAAATGTCCATCATCGGATGAGTGGATACGGAAAATGTGGTATATCTACACAATGGAATACTACTCAGCTATAAAAACGAATGAAATACTGCCATTTGCAACAACATGGATGGACCTTGAGAGAATAATATTGAGTGAAACGAGTCAGGATGAGAAAAAGAAGTACCACATGTTCTCACTTATTGGTGGGAGCTAAAAAAAAAAAAAAAAATTCACACACACACACACACACACACACACACACACACACACA